TCCACCCCCAGGGCTGTGGCCCCGCCCTGGCACTGGCTACTCACCAAGGATGGCCACATAGGTGGTGGGGGATATGGCCAGGTAGGCATGCCCTATGTCGGAGACCCACTTCATGCAGGTGTAATTGCCCCCATGAGACAAGGTTGCCCCTTCAATCTGCTGAGAGGGTCCTCATTGTGAATCCAGAAGTAGACCTGGTCCAGCGACCCGCTGTCCCCCACACATCTCAGCGTGAACGAGTCGCCCTCCCTGATCGGGCCTGGGCCGTCCATGTCCACCAGGACCTTCAGGCGGGGGGGTCGGCCTGAAAAGGCCATTGGAGATGGGTCAGAACCAGCACCTCCTAGAGGGGAAAGGCCCCGTGCCCCATTCCCTGCCCCTCTGAGCCAGCCAGTCCCGCACCCTGGGGCCGGATGGGAGCTGGCGCCCCCTGGAGGGGAAAGGTCCTGTATCACATTCCCCACCCCCAGCACCAGCCAGACCCCTGCCCTCAGACCAGATTAGAGTCAGTGCCTGCTAGAGGGGAAAGGCCCCGTGCCCCATTCCCTGCCCCCCAGCCAGCCCCTGCCTTGGGGCCTGATGGGAGCTGGCACCCCCTAGAAAGGGAAGGCCCCATACATAATGCAACTCACCTGTGGCTGGAGGCTGGGACCTTTTGGGGAGGCACCTATTCCGGTAGCCCTGCACCCGGCACTCCAGCGCCGCCCCCCGGTGCTGCCAGATGATGTGCATGCTCAGCTCGCTATTGCTTTTGCCAGCTTCAGTTTCCTCCAGGATCCGCGCGCCGGCTCCGTCGTACCAATGCAGGCCGGAGGAGGCGCAGCGCTCGGAGATGGAGCAGATCAAGTTGAGGTTCAGGGGTCCGGGGATCATATCAATGCTATGTTTGACCCTGCAGGGATGTTCTGTGCAGGGTGTGTGAGGGGGAGTCAGTCACTGCTGGGGGCATGGCCATGGGCACAGGCACCTCCAGTCACCAGCCACTGCTCCTTCTTTGAGAGCGGCCTCAAGACCAGGTGGGGGTGTGACCTGTACCAGGCTCCCCTCCCAGAGCTGGGAGAGAACCCAGGAGTCCTGGCTCCCAGCCCCCCCTGCTGTGACCACTAGATCCCACTCCCCTCCCAGAGCTGGGAGAGAACCCAGGAGTCCTGACTCCCAGCCCACCCGCTGTGACCACTAGATCCCACTCCCCTCCCAGAGCTGGGAGAGGACCCAGGAGTCCTGGCTCCCAGCCCCCCCTGCTGTGACCACTAGATCCCACTCCCCTCTCAGAGCTGGGAGAGGACCCAGGAGTCCTGACTCCAGTTTAGGTTTCCTCTAACCATCAGACTCCGCTGTTTCTTCACAGCTTTGCAGAGTGGTCATTTGATTTGAGTGAAATGTTATGAGAGGTTTACAGCAACCATCCTTGGGGATGGCTCGATGGGCGCTGAGGTGCAGCCACCTCTGGGGCAGGGCATCTGGGGAGCAGCCATACATAACGCCGCGTGGGGCCAGGCTGGGTTGTTGGTCAAACGTTTCTGCAAGAGGAGCCGGGGATTACCTGACACCGTGAGGCACACGGCTCGGGGGCTTCTCCAGCTTTGGCTCTCGGTCTGGAACTCAAAGGAGTAGGTGCCCCCATCGCCGAGCGCCAGCGGGTTGAGGCGCAGGGTGCAGTCGTGGTGCAGGTCACCCAGGAACTGGGCGCGCTCGACCTTGTCATAGCCCTGCCCCGCTGCTGTCGTGAGCTGCACAATTCTCTCGTTGTCCCGGCTCCAGGTCACGGCTTTGACGAGCTGCCCCTCGGGGTAGGTGTAAGAGCAAGGGATCGTCACGCATGAGCCGCTCCATCCGGCTAGAGGGTCCGCGGGCAGGGTCACCCCCCAGTCCTGGCAGCCGGCACCTGGAGGGGAAGCAGCACCCTGCTATCTACAGCACCTTACCCCCTAGTCCTGCCCTGGGGCATCGAGGCCAGCCCTGACTGCCAGAGGAGAGCCCCCGCCCCACTCGCTGCAGCACAACGCCCCCTAGTACTGCCCTGGGGTATCGAGGCCAGCCCTGACTGCCAGAGGAGAGCCCCCACCTCGCTGTCTGCAGCACAGCGCCCCCTAGAGGTTGGAACTGAACCCCAGTCGTTCCAGATGCCCCCTGCTGGATTCCAAGCATTGGCAGGTGGAGCCATCGCCATGGCAGAGTCTCCCAAGTTCCCGGCTTCCTGTTCATCCCCGTTACTGCATCCCAGCCCCAGCGCAACCAGAACCACTCACCGGTCAGGATGGAGAGGGCCAGCAGCAGCAGGGCCTCCATCTCCTCCAGGGTGAACACTGACGTGGGGCCTACAAGAAAAGGGAACCGGATTTGGGCCCGGGAAAGGTTCCTATGAAAACGTTTTCAGCACAAAGGGTGTCCCAGAAAGGCTACGAGTTCCATAGCGAGGCTGGGCTGGGGGCTAAGGCAGGAGATCTTGGATCTAGTCACAGCTGGAGTCCGATGTAGGAGTCGCATATTCATTCTATTGATTACTTCAGAATTCCCGGTGAGGTTTGACAGGTTTGTGTCCCCAGGTCAGGCTCAGGATTACGGAAACTGGGGTTCAGCTGGGAGCTCCTCACCATCACCTTCGTCGTTGTCAACCCAGTCGTCACACCGGCATCTTCCAAGGGCTACATTGCGCTCTCCTCCTGCCCGCAGGCTGGGATGCGACTTGTACATGATGTTACGCTGACATCACCCTGCCTAATGCCTGTTCTGTAGGCGTGTCTCCTCTCTTCCTTATGTGTATCTCCTCCCACTACCAGTGCTGGGGGCCCTTCTCCCATAGGTCATGGCTCTCTGGTGGTCAGACAGCAGCCGATGGTCCCATGCTAAACTATCCGCAAGATGGTGTTAGTTCCTGTTCCTGGTGTCGTTGTGAACAAAGCTCCCCCTTAAACACTCTGTTCCCACGTCCCCAAAACTTAGGGGTCACGGTTGGGCCATTTATCTGTGCCAAAGTTCATAGGCCCCAAGCCTTATGCTAACTGCTGACGCCAGCATCTCACAGGAGACAGGCCTGTGGGTTGCTTGCATTACTGCCCCATCAAATAAATGCTAAAGCTAGTTCTATGGGCTACACAACACTGCCACAGGGCCCCATGTGATCACGAGCAAGCCACTCCTCTCCATGCCTCAGTTTCCCCACCTGTACAAGGTGGATACAAATCTTACTTTTGTTCCTTTAGCCTTCAAACGTTTTTGTGGCAAGGACTGTCTCTTGCTGTGTGTCTGGGCAGTGCTTGGCACGAAGGGGCCCTGATCTCAGCTGGGGCAGGGCCTGTCTCTTGCTGTGTGTCTGGGCAGCGCTTGGCACGAAGGGGCCCTGATCTCAGCTGGGGCAGGGCCTGTCTCTTGCTGTGTGTCTGGGCAGTGCCTGGCACGAAGGGGCCCTGATCTCAGCTGGGGCAGCGCCTGTCTCTTGCTGTGGGTCTGGGCAGTGCCTGGCACGAAGGGGCCCTGATCTCAGCTGGGCCATTAGACGTGACCGTAACACGTGTGGTAAATTGTAAGAACGACCGCGCGGTGTTTAGCTTTATTCAGCATCGCAGCTTCCTGCCTCGCTGAGGAGAACTGAGACGCTCCCAGCCCAGCTGCTTACTGCTCCGTTCATTGATCTGCCCATCTTAACGCCAGAAGGGACCGTGGTGCCCAGGCAGTCTGCCCAGCCTGGAGACCTCCCCTCAGGGATCCCGGCCTCCAGCCCAGAGCTGATGGTCGAGCTAGAGCAGTGCTTTTAGGGACGTCCGATCTCCATAGAAAGACTCCAAGGGCTGGAGACTCTGCCCTGTCCCTGGGGCAGTGATTCCCAGGGTCAGTTCCCCTCCCTGGGGAAAATCTGCCCCTTCTTCCCAGTCTCGATTTCTCTGGCTCCATGCCACAGCCGTCAGCTCTCACTCTGCCCCTGTCTGCTGGGTTAACGAGCCCTCTGCTCCCCAAAACCTTCCCCTCACCAGCAGGGAGGTGCTGACAGACCAGGATCTTGTCCCCTCTGAGCCTTCTCTGGGTTAAACTCGCTAGATCGAGCTCCTTCAGTGCTTGGCTCTCGGGCAGGTTTTCCAGCCCTCGGATCGTCCCCGTTGCTCTTTTTTGACACCTCCCTCATTTCCGGACAACCTGTTTGACGTGCGGCCCCCCCAGAGCTGGGCGCAGTCTCCCCAATGTCACGTCGAGCTGGGATCCCAGCTCCTACTCGCTATTCCCCTACGTCTTCAGCCCAGGGTCACGCTCACCCTCTTAGCCAGAGCATCGCCCACGGAGCTCATGGGCTATCTGGCTCCACCAGGACACCTGGGTCCTTCCCAGAGTCGCTGCTGAGCAGGGTACAGCCCCCCAGCCTGGACATGATGGGCTCACCCAGCGTCCCAGGGGGCTGGCTCCCCCGCTGCGATACACAGTTCCTCTAGCTGGGGCCTTCTTTCTCTCCCCTGCTGGGGCCAGAGATGTCTCGGAAGATCTGATGTGACACAACAATTCTAAGAACAGGATCTCTAGAGAAGGCGGAAGGGGCCAGCGATTATCTGCTGTCTGGATCTTGCTAGTGGTGAAAGCAGGCCTCCTGGGTTCTTTATCCAGCTTTGGGAGGGGAGCGGAGTCTACAGGTTAGGGCAGGGGCTGGGAGCCAGGACTCCTGGGTTCTCTCCCTGGCTCTGGGAGGGGAGTGGGGTCTCATGGTTAGAGCAGGGGGACGGGTAGTCAGGACTTTGGGTTCTATCTCTGGCTTTGGGATGAGAGTGGGGGTCCAATGGGTTAGAGCAGGGGGGACTGGAAGTCAGGACTCCTGGGTTCTATTCTTGGCTTGGAGAGAATTGTGGGATCTAATGGTTAGATCTGGGGAGGAGGGAGGGGCTTTTCCCTTGTAGGCGGCTGGGTAGAGTGAGCTGTGAGCATCTCAGACCCTGTTCCTAACAAACATGTATGAAGTACAAAATCCACACCCCAGATGGCGTTAACCTGCCCCTCACTCGCTGAACGGGCCATAGGGACTGAGCTCTCCTCTGCCCCCTAGAGGGGAGGTGAGCATTAGCGGGGGGAGGGGGGAGGAGTATGGAGTACAGAATGGCTCAGCAAAGACCCCACGGGGAATTCAGTCTCCATGGCACATGAGGCGCTCCTTATCTTTGTTCTGCCAGAAGCCTCCAGGTGGT